GTGCTCGCAAAGCTTCACGGCGAAGGAGCCGCCCTGCGGCTTCAGGAGAGGCGCCCGGCGCGGGCGGCAGGGCTTCCGGGCTGGGGATGCGGACGGCACTCCCGTGGTGACCTCCATCACGGCCACATCCCGGCAAGGCCCTCAAGGACTTTTCCAATGGAGAAATTTCCACCTTAGTGAGAAACGTAATCTTCAGAGTCCGAGGGAAACCATCCCAGGCACCTCCGCTGACCGAAAGGAGAAATACTAAACATTCAGCATGTTGTCTGGGGCAAATGTTAAGACTTGGCTGGAATGTTGTCTCTCATGATCATATATGTCACTTTCAGGGAACTGTTTGTAATTAAAAGAGTCAAATTATGATTCAGCTGTCCTTGGGAGATCACAGCCTGTTAAAGAAATAAAAATCACCAAGCAGGCACTGCATTAAAAAATAACAAACAAACAAACAAAAAAACAACTGCTTTTGCAAAACACATTACAAATCCAATGTAATTTGCTTTATGTTGAGCTCTGCGGTCGGCAAGCCCACATCTGACGGGCAGGAGGCAGCGCGGTGTCAGGCAGGGTCATGGACTCAGCTCCAGAGTCCTCTCCCGTTACCGGCCGCCCGACCTGACACGGGGCACCCAGAGCCTCTGAGGGTCCGTCTCATCGTGGCTGCATGATAGCTCTCACCAATGCTGTTGTCTAAAAAATGAAGACAATGTATATAAAGCACCTTTCACAATATTTGCATTGGATAAACTGATTATTGTTCAGTTATTATTATTATTAATGCCCACCTAGAGCTACAAACTTAATCTCTATGCTTTACATTTTTTTCTAATTAACATGTCTACCAATTAAATCATACCATGTCTTGGTTACATGTTCTAAGCTGATGTATCTGCAAAGTTGGCCATCACATAAAAGAAAAAGCAATAATTATCTGTGAGTATGTGTGTGTGTGTGTGTGTGTGCAGAAGAAGGAGCTCCTTTCACACCAGACATTTTGCACACATCTGACTGCTTAATCCCCACACCGTCGTCCACACATAAATGAATCAATGACTAAACGGACGGGAGGGACCTGTGGCCTTGCCCAACACCACCCAGAGCCGGTGGGACCCTAAGCTCAAGTGCCACAGACCACGCGTGTCTGGTTCACAGACTCTGTCCCCAGAGCCCCACACACACCTGCTACTCCCTGAGTGCTCATCACTTGTGGGAGAAATAAGTGAGCTCGGGTTCAAATCCTCATCTGGCTGACGAGTCTCACCGCCGTGATAACTCACTGCCTCTTCCGGCAAGCCCTGGCCTTCATGGTTGTAATTCACAGTCCCTAGTGAGGACCTTTCACGGGCTGGCAGGGCCACTTCCCAGACCAACCAAATGAGACCTCTGTGTGTGGAGTCGGGGCACGTGCGTTTTCCCCACCGGGTACTGTGATGCCTCGGGAGGGGTGATCAACCATCAGAACCGCGTGGGGAGGGAAGCTACCTCTGAGAAGGTACCAGCATCAGCAGGAGAGTCAGTCCTGAGAATCATTTGGATCCTGGTAAGATTACTTTCTTAAAGAGACTTCCTAAGAAATTGCATTTCTTCTTAAGTTTGTAAAATTTATCATTTGTCTTATGGGAAGGCAGTGGCACTTCTATTAGGTTTTAATCACACAAAGTGAGTTAGATTAATTACTATTTTCTCCCCTTTAGAATCTCTGGGAAAAAAATGAGCAAATCAAAGATGCATTTGTCCGTGATTAATTACAGGCAATAAGACTCACCACATCCAGAACTGGGCTGCTTTTGCCCTCAGAAAGCTGATTCCATCCAGGTGGCACAGACCAGTTCAAGGACAAATGCCTTGAAGGAATGTCTCTACAGACTTTTGAGATGGACATCTACACAGGTTCTCAGATTCAAGTGTAAAACCTCTACCCTGGCGTTCTCACCTCTGAGATGCTGTCTGGATCCCAGGCTCTCTTGAGGAAGGAGGCACCACCTGTCCTGAAATTTGAGGGCACTTCTAAAGCCATGTGAGACTTCACCTGTGTAGAGGACAGAGGGGCCAAGGACATTGTTTTAGCTCAAACTTTTTATACCTGAAAGTAGGTGGCTCTTTGAAAATAGATGTTAAACACCATACTAAGAAATCAGAAACTCAGAAGTATGGTAAAAGCCATCATTTTTTCTGAAATTCTAAAATTAGTTCCTCCCCAGTCAAGTATTTTTACATAATTGAAATCATATTGCAGATACAGAGTCAAGTACAGATAATCACAGATGGCTTCCATCTATGTGACACATTCTGGTATTAAAAGCCAGATACTAGTTCTGACTCTACTGGTAAGTTAGGTGACCTTGGAAAAGCCCAAATTTTTTAGATATCACTTATGAAATTACTATATATTATCAACGACCTTTTCTACCACTAGTAAAGTATAATTTTGTAATTGCACAAAAAGTATATGCAATACTTTACTTATCACCAATCAGCAGACAAAATCACAAGTGTTATAAAAAAAATTGAATGCCAGACAACAAGAACACACACAAACACAGTCATTAAAAGTAAACAAATCTAGCTTAAAATGAGAGCAAAGGTCATATCTCTAATAGACTTCATTCCCAGAAATTCTTTTTTTGACTCCAATGTTACCCTTCTGTGAATACATTATTTACAATAAATATGTCAGTTTAAGAATGATTTTTTCCCCCAAACATTCTATTTTGAAGGGCATTTTATTATTTCAAATGTACATTTAGTTACTGTAATAGCTTCTTAAAAAAAATTGGAAACTTCATAAAGGCAACGTAGGGCAAATGATGCTCCTTTCCCTGGTGGAGTAAAAATACTCCAAAATTGGCTTCTTTCTGAAATCAATGAGAAAAATTGGGGGGGAAAAAGTTAATATCAATATTTGCAGATCTCTGGAAATTAACAAAAGGTTATAACAATTCAAGGAGTGTTTACTCATGAAAAATGATGTGTTTTTGCCTCTTTCTCTCACCTCTTTTATTGGAATTCCCATCATGTGTGTGTTTGCTTAGAGAATTTCAGTGGAGAGAATTTCGCTTTCAGAACTTTAAAGGTGTTGCTCTTCTGCATCTCCCTTTTAATATTTCTAACAAGAAATCGGCTGTCATCTTTATATTTTTCTCTGTTTGCAGTGCATATTTTTCCCTCTGGTTGATTTGTAAATGATATTTCTCTCACTGGTTTTGAACAATCTGATCATAATGCGCTTAGTGTTTTGTTTTGTTTTGTAATATATCTTGTCCTGAGAGTCACTGGACTCCTTGGATCTGTGAATACACAGTTTCCTCAAATTTGGAGATGTTCAGCCATTTAATGATTCAAATCTTTTTTCTTCCTCCTCTTCTTCCATTTCCTTCAGCGACACTCATCACATGTCTGTCAGGCTACTTAGAGTGTGCCCACTGCTGCCAGATGCTAACTTCATTTTTTCCAACCTTCTTTCTCTTTTGTTGCTTCATTTTTTATTGTCTTTTGTGGCATCTTCAAGATCACTAATTTTTTTTGTCTTAAACATCTAATCTGCTGGTAATCCCATCCACTTTATTTTTTATCTGAAACATTTTCTCTCTAAATGTTTAATACAGTTCTCTTTTCTCTCTTCCATGTCTGTATGGAACTTGAATGTGTGGATCACAGTTATAGAACTGTTCAGTGTTCTCATCCGCTAATTCCAACACCTGTGTCAGTTCTGGGTTTTAATTATTTCTTTCCTCATCATGCACCATGCTTTCCTGCCCCTTTGTATGCTTGGTCATTTTTTTAAATATAGAATATGTCACAAATTTGCGTGTCATCCTTGCTTAGGGGCCAGGCTAACTGTCTCCATATCATTCGAATTTTAGTGTATGTGCTGCCAAAGTGAGCTCTGCTTGGTAAGTTTTGGTTGGATACCAGAGTTTGAATAACTTTCCTGTGCACACCCAGGACTCGTACCAGAATGCATTGTCGGAGAGCTGCTGAACTCGGGTCCAGCTGCTCACGGCTCAGGAGACAAGTGTTGTAGGAAAGGGAAGGCTGCTTTACTCAGGAGGCTGACAACCTGGGGAGAAGGTGGACTTGTGTCCAGGAACCAACTCCCATTGCTACTCAGGGACAAGAGCTTTTAAAGGGAAGTTTCGGGGGTGTGTGGGCAGAGGGAGGGGATGCCTGCGGAGCAGCCCAGTCAGTGCTGACGGTCACCTTGAAACTGGTCGTGCAGTGGGCTGAGCAGTTTTAAGTACAGTTAATCTTGAACTCCAGGCTCAGTTTGTGGCCATTTCCTTGAGGCCAGTTCTTGGAATTGTGCAAGATAGAGCACAAGCTTGCCTCTTCTTTCTTTAAACATAGTAAACATGTTTCATCTGTTCAGTTTAATAATAAACATGATTAATCTCTGGCTAATCATTCCGATACATCAAGTCTTGATAGGCCGTTTCTTTGTGCCTTGTTTTCTTGATTCTTAATCATGTTGTCTTGTTTCCTTGTATACTAGCTGTTTTGGGTTTGTGTTATGACTGTGTTTTCAAAATCATTTGAAGGTGTAATTTGAGGGTTATAATGTTGTCCCTCTTTCCCATGGATGATACTCACTTGCACCTGTCTGCCAGGAAGCTGAGAGAGTTCTGCCCCAGGACCACCTTCGTACACATTCAGGCTTCAATGCCCCTGGGCATCGGACATTTCTGCCTGATGGCCGATTTCCCTCGGGCTGAGTTCGTCTTCCCTGGAGGGGACAAACTTAAAGTGAATTATGATCAACAGAGCCCCCACCTGGAGACAGCCTTGAATTTAACCCGACCCACCTGCCCTCCGAAGTTGCCAAGACGCAGCCTGTCTTCACATCTATTTCTTCCAGGCTCTCAGATGCCCTGGAGGTGTAAGTAGATATGAGTTTTGAAATTCTATCTGTATGTTCTTGATGTTTTCTCTTTTTCTGGCCTTGTGATCCTTCACCATTTTGGTTAGTACACCATTTGGGATGTAATTTTAGACCTTTAAAAAATTATCCATTTTATTAGGAAAGTTGGTCTAAATTTTCTGCTTTACTAATTTCTATCCCAATATGAAGTCTTAATTCAAGCCCTCATAATTTTCCCACAGGGAATATTCAAATAGGTTCATAATTGGTGCTCTTTCAACCAGTCTGTCTTTTTATCAATCACACGCCATGTGCCAGGGACCATGTAACAGTTGCTGATAATCTCACAACTGCCCCAGCATAGGGACTGCTACTTTCTTGTCTCAAGGGCAATGAACATGATTCACAGACGTGCTGGTAATGTCTCTGAGCAGCAGCAGTGGGGCAGGAGCTGGGCCCCGGGCTGTCTGACTCCAGATCCCCTGTCCACGGCTGCCATGCCTCACTGCTCTGGCCGCCATGACGCTGGGACTCAGTCTCCCCAAATGTGGCACTGCTCCAGGAGAGCCGGGACGCAGGGCAGGGCCTTTTTCCTCTACATCCACATCACGCTCATCTTCACACAGAGTAAGATTTCAGAGGATGAACTGGTGCTCATACTGTGGTTTGGTGCATGGACATCACTAGCTCCATCTTTCATCACTCAGGATTCTGCTTATCAGCCAGACTCTGGATCTACCTCTGCGCTAGCCACAGTGGACAGAAGTGTGACTGCTCCTTCTAGAGGAGGGGAGCCTAGGGTGGGAGACAAAGTGCCACACCCTGGACGCCTCAATGAGACACTATAGATGGTGGCGATGACACGGCCTGCCCAGTGTCGATTTGACACTTTTACTCGGACCCCAGGCTTCAATACTTACTTTTGTCAACAGCGAGAGTTCCAAGATCATCTCAGTAGACATCGTGAGAAATAGCACTTTTGAGGTCAAACAGCAAGGAGACAGCACCGCACCCACGATTTCCATCGAGGTCCATTTCGTTTCAGAGGACTTCAGACTGCAACGGTGTAAGCTTGCTTGCTCTTCTGCTCTACTATTTAGGTCAAGTCCTTACTTTCCTTCAATCCGTAGGGGGAAAATGCAATAAGTGAGGGCAATGAAGGAAAAAAGAATTCTACATCTTGAGTTTCCAAGGAGTTAAAAAGCTTCTTTCGGGTACAGTGTCCTGGGGAGGTGCTGCGTGGGCTCCCCCCCAGCCTGGGTGAGGGTCCAGAGGGGGTCTGAGGGGTCTCTGTGTAGGATTCCTTTTTTGCCCTCAAGTGACCTCCCTTCACTGCGTCTGCTCACCATCTCCACCCTTCATCTTGTTGTAGCATGGTGTGAAAAATGAAGTCTGGTGTAATTGCTCTTTTCTGGTAGCTTCTCATACAGAAGTACCAGGATGAGAAAGTCTGGAGGGTCTGGACTCTCACACATCGGCTTGATCTCTGAAAGCACAAGTAAGCTTTGATCAAATCTGGGACAAAATCAAATCGCCCCCTGGACAGTGGGCACGTGTGAAGGATGAGTTATATGGTTACAGAGAACTTAAACTACTGACAGAAGATTAATCTCAAGTGGATTGTTGATGCATAAGTAAGTTTATCCCTAAAATAAAATCATGCCCACACTTTGTGTCTCATTCTAGGAACTCCTAGAATTCCATCTTTACATGCAGACCAAGACATGAAAAACAAACTTCTCTGCTAACTTACTAAGAGTCAGCTTTAATGTGAATAAGATTACAGATCTGTTGATACAAGATGTTCAGCAATGGGAAATTTGATGGAAAGGCAGTAACTTTAAGGTCCAATGATTTAGTCTGATAAACTTACCCACTGAGTTATAAACAAGATTCAGTAAGTATGAGAGTTTTTCCATTTCTCTGTACCCTCTGTGTGTGTAACATTGAGGTACAGCCTTTGATGCTGATTCTGTGTTCATAAAAAGAGATGTGAACAGTGAAATTAAAAGTATTTTGGAAATTTTCATAATGATGAAATACCGAGGTCCACTCTTCTCAACATTTCTTGGTGAGCACTTTTGAGCACCCGCTCAGGACAGAGGACTTGGCGTTTTAAACTAGTCATCAGCTACCTTCCCACCTACCTTTAGCAAAATCTATTTGAAAAAGAACAATGAAATTTCTATATTAAAATGTTATTAGAAGGAAAAGTCAATGCCTTATCTTTTTAATTATATTTTAATTTAAGACATAGAGATCTGATGTCCAAGAAGGATGGACAAGATGATGGAATTTAGGGTTTGCTGTTGTAGTTGTTTGTTTATATTATTAAAGAGAAGTGTCCATCCACTAGTGTGCAAAATGTTTTCCCCATGTGATCTTGAGCGAGTTCCTTATCTGTAACATGAGGAAAGGTCCTTGAAGGCAGTGACTGCCACTTTGTATCTCATTGTCTAGAAGAATGTTCTATAAAAGGAATCATTCAGAGAATAAATAGCTGGCTTATTGAATGGCTGGCTGACTAAACAGATGAATGAAAAACTAATCGTCACAATTCATTATGAAGTCCCACAGCGTGCCCTCACATTCATTTCCATTATTAATACGTACATCGGAAAAGCTGACCTTACGAGTGCCGAGAGCAGCAGTCTGCACATTTACACTTGCAGGTGAACGTGGTGGCTAGAGCCAGCCTTCCTGGCCCGGGGCCGTGATTGGAGGCGAGATGAACAGGCAGACACTTGCACTGACGTGACAGCTGCCTTGACGGGGCTCTGAGGCCGTGTGGTTGAGGCCCCCAGCTCTGTGTCACAGGGACCTGGCTCGGACACCATCCCACCACGCCCTGTCTAAGGTATGAGTCTCTTAAAGCCAGTTTTCTTCCTTTGTGAGCAGGGATAATTGCAAAGATGTTGTGAGTTTTAATTAGGTAGTGCAGGAGACGTGTTTAGCGTAACACCTAATAAATGACAGCTACTGTTAATGACACAGCGAGCTGCTGATGTGTCCTTGACGAGGCTCAGTGGGGTTAGGGTGGGAGTGCAGAGTTGTACCCGGGGAAAAGGAAGGCAGCGATGGTGATATGTCTGTCATGCAGACCGCAGAGCGAGGCACGTGCGTACGTGCCTTTACTTAGGTACCACAAAGACAGCAGTTGTGAGCTGAAGAGCAGAAGGTGGGAAGAGGCTCATCAACCAGCCAGGGGCAGAGCCAGGCGGCAGGAGCGCCACGGCCTCCCCGGGGAGGTGGCAGGAGGCCTGGTGACCAGCGGGGAGCCCTGCGGAGCTGCTGCTTGGAGTGGACGAGGAGGAGCAGGGGATGGGGTTGGGCACGGGGTCAGGGCCAGCCTACCGTGTTGCAGTGGGGCCTCGGGGCAGGGAGCGAGGGAAGGCGGGGTGGTGCGGGATGCTGAGAACCAGCCACTGCGGGTACCCCCGCACCCCTCAATCTTGCCGTCCTCCGGAAGGTCTCCTAGCGCCGCGGAAACCTAGTTTTGAACACAGGAACGGTGGAGCCTGGGTTACGGGGACACGGAGAAAATACGAAAAACCGTTCCGCAAAGGGAGCAGTCTGTCTGACGTTATTAAATGGAATCCCGTGTAAGGTCGTCTCAGTTCACAGCCGGGGGGA